ATTCCCCCACCTCCGCAGCAACACGAGCAGCCAGCTGCTTTGAGAGGTGCTGTTACGTTCTTCAGGGGTGGCTGCAGGCCAGATGAAAAGGGTTGATGGGTCAGATCCTGGCTGCAGGCCAGCTTTTCCCCACCACTGGTGTAGATAGTGTTTACACTGAGGTGCTACAGAGGCACTGCTGTGGTACCCTAACATTTTAAGTGGAGACAGATCTTTTAACTAACTGTTTTCCCTTATAGAAGGTAAAACTCTAGTCTCCTGTGGCTAACTGAATTAATTTCTTGTATTTAAGTATACATGAAGCAAAGTCTCTTCAGATCTTTAGATTTTGCCCCTTACAATACAAGCTATCTACTAACTACGCAAATTCCATGAAGGCAAGAAAAGGAGGTGGAGAAGGCCCCTCAGCAAGAGATCTCAATCTTCAGTACATGGATCCCATTCCTGTTTCTCCCAAAGCCTCTGAAAATATAAATGGGATTTGCAGCAGACTCTGCAGATGGACAGGTGTGGGCTATTTTGGGCAAATTGAAGAGAGAGCAGTGAACTTTGAGTTCAGGGTTTCTTACAGATAGCAACCTTCTAATAACTTCCTCTTTTTTAAATTGGGGGGGAGGGGGGGGCCTCAGCTTGTGCACATGTGCTGATAAAATTTTTGGTAAAATGAAAGAAGAAATTATGTGATGTCTCAAATTGGCAGGTCCCTGTCATGCAGTCCGTAATTGCACATGCATATTAGGTTGGTTCTCGATTGCCAAACTGCACTTATTCTCTCGTCACTGTCATAAGAACAGCCATACTAGGTCTGACCAAAGGTCCATCCAGCCCAGTACCCTGTCTGCTCACAGTGGCCAATGCCAGGTGCCCCAGAGGGAGTGAATCGAACAGGTAATGATCAAGCAATCTCTCTCCTGCCATCTGTCTCTACCCTCTGATAAACAAAGGCTGGGGATACCATTCCTCACCCATACTGGCTAATAGCCATCAATGGACCTCACCTCCATGAATTCATCTTGTTCTCTTTTAAACCCTGTTACAGTCCTAGCCTTCACAACCTCCTCAGGCAAGGAGTTCCACAGATTGACTATGCACTGTGTGAAGAAGAACTTCCTTTTATTTGTGTTTAAACCTGCTGCCCATTAATTTCATTTGGTGGCCCCTAGTTCTTATATTATGGGAACAAGTAAATAATTTTTCCTTTTTCACTTTCTCCATACCACTTATGATTTTATAGACCTCTATCATATCCCCCCTTAATCTCCTCTTTTCCGAGCTGTAACGTCCCAGTCTCTTTAATCTCTCCTCATATGGGACCTGTTCCAAACCCTTAAATGATTTTAGTTGCCCTTCTCTGAACCTTTTCTAATGCCAGTATATCTTTTTTGAGATGAGACGACCACATCTGTACGCAGTATTACAGATGTGGGTGCACCATGGATTTATATAAGGGTAATAGTTCAGTCCTCTGAGGAACCTTAGAGCCTTGAGTTTGAATTTTTGAATCTGAATTAGGGATGTTAAAATTAATCAACTACTTGAATAGTGGATGGATTTTCCATCGACTATTCGATTAGTCGATAAGGGTGCTTCCACTCTGAAATGTAACAAGAACCTGCCCAGCTGTTGCTACATTTCAAAGGTGGAAGTGCCACATGTTCCACATCTGAAATGTACAAGAGCCCCAGTAGGGACTCTTGCGCATTTCAAAGATTGAAATGCCACATGGCGTCTGGGGCCAGCGGGGAACTCCTAATCCCCTCCTGGCCCCAGGCTTCATGCGGCACTTCTACTTAGATGCACAAGAACCCCAGTAGGGACTCTCCCCCCCCCCCCCATGGAGCTGGGGGAACCAGCTTTTAAGCCGGCTCCCCCCAGCACTCTCCTCTCCTCCCCTCCCCGCCGTCTCTTTCTGATAGAAGCAGCAAGGGGGCCGGGGAGGGGGAGGCAGAAGCGACTAGTCGGTTAGTCGCTTACATCCCTAAGCTGAGTGTTTAGGACAGAATGTTCTTAGGAGTGCTTTCAAGTCTGGGATTTTGTTCCCTTGTTTGACAGTAGGTCTTGCTTTCTGCCTGACTTGTCTGTAAAATGATGGGTGTGAAGAGCTGATGTTTTCTTGTGTGGTACTGAAGCATTGCACGTGCATCAATAGAATTTCCATTGTATTTGTGTTCTGTAAATGAATTAAAGCTGAATTTCAAATCTCAAAGTTATGAGTAGTAGAAACTGAAAGGACACTGTGGCTATTAAAAAAAAAAAAAAAAAAAAAAAAGGCTAATGGGGGTAATTAAATCTAGTGAAGGATAGTTTTTGTCAAATGTGAAAAAACAAACAAAAATCCCAGAATGATGTTCAAAAGGTGACTGTCAGAGGGCGTCATGTAACATTGAGAGTTTCTGAATCTCTAGAAGCAGAAAAATGAGTTCTTCAAATACATATGGCATAGTGAACCATAAAATACATTGCTCTGAATTTAGTAACCTACAGATAAGACGCAGACTGAATCCTTGGAGATAACCTGGACAAAAGCGTTTTGTGTGTCAGGTGATAGAAGCAATGTGTCTTTTCATGTGGCTCTACAAAAGATTCCAAATTCTCTGAGACTCTGACATTTGTCTCTCAGTTAAACCAGTGTCATCTTCCTTTATGTATATTGACAGTGTGGACTGCATTTGGTTAGCTAGTATTTTTGCTAAATTCTTAATTATGATTCAGCAACGACAAGGGCCTGTAAAGAACTGCATATGGTCAAGTCTTTTTCCATCTTCAGGAAGAGCAGCAGTAGCTTCTTTCATGCAGTAAGTTCCTCCCTTAACAAAATGGCACAAAAGGTAACCCTCCATGGACCTGCTCATTCTACTTTTAAATGTAAAAATTCTACTGGGAAACCATCAAGTTTAGGAGTTTTACTACTCTTCATAGGTATGATTGTTCATAAGAAAACATATGTTATTTCCTTATCTAAGCTTCTGTTTCGTTGATCTTTGGCAAGCCAGCTACGTACAAATATTTTTGAACAAGTTCATAGTTCGGAGTATATGAAGTACAGTGGACTTCCGATAATCTGGCACTTTTGGGACCTAGGTGGTGCTGGATTATTGGATCTGTCAGAGTACCAAGAGGTCCTATAAGGGGGCATACTCCCAGCCCAATCCCCTCCCCCCCTCACCTTATGCTTGGATCCCGTATCCGCTGGTACAGCCGCGAATCTCCCTCCATGTGCTGGGGCACGTGTACTGTGCGGCCGGCTTTTCAATGAGCTGGCCGGGACGTTGTGCCCAAACCAATCCCGCTCCTGTCCCCTCCCCAGATTCAAACATCTTCCCTCCCTCCTGTCACCCAATCCCCCTTCTCCCCCAGCCTTATGTGCGGATCCCGAAGCAGCTGCCCGTGCTCAGTGGCTGGCTACTAGCACATGCAAGCTGGACGCTGTGCGTGCCGCGGAACGGCGCGGGCCGTGAGAGCACATGCAGCTTACGGCGTCCTGGCTGTGAGAGTGGCTCACTTGCGTAGTTCCAGATTCCAGTTGACACCGGACAACTGGATGCCGGACTATTGGAGTTTTACTGTACATAGGTTTACAAAAGGATTTATAGCTACACATGTCACTGGAGTGTGTAGCTATCATTTGTTGATTCATCTTAGTTGATGAAATAACATGTTGCTCTCCTCTGTAAACATTTGTGCCAATAACTTATGTTTTAAGAAATAAACTGATGTGTGTTGTCCACTTTGCGACAGGTCTTCAAACAGATTTTGCTAGAATAGAGTGGAACTTTTTCTCTGTAGTGTCTAAACTTTGGTTTCCCACTACTGATATACTTTTCTGAACCTGTTTTTATTAATCTCTTGGAGCCTTTTTATCTCCTCTTTTAATTTTTCTTGAGCTCTTTCAGGTTAGGTTCTGCTTACCAACTGACTTTCAAATATTACTTCCTGCCTCCCATGGAGGATTCTACTTTATATTTGTCTTTATCATTTATTTGAAAGTATTGAACAATATCGTCTTTAATTTTTGTTGCTGGATCTTCAATCTGGAGCAGCAAACAATTTTTATAGGAAATTAACTTTTTGGGACCTGTTCATCCCTTTTATCTAAATACTTTCAGTGGGGTAGCTGCTCACCATTTAAAGGCACCGTTTTCTGCAAACCACATCTGCTTCAGTAAGGATTTAGAGAATAACATTACATCTAGTTTAGTGCATAAATGAGGGTGTGATTAAAATGTATAATTTCATTGTCCTGGATGTGTTTGATCTGGCGCTTACAATGTTAATATCCCAGTAGTTGTGTTTTTAAAATCATCCCTCCGTACTTTGAAAATGATCTTTAATCCAACAAGGTTACATGTTTTAAAATATATGCATGTTGGGTTTCCTTATTCTGCACTTTGAGACCGGGCTCTTGGCCATGGGGAGCCTTGGCCAAGCTGGCAGTGGGGCCCATGGCAGAGCGGTGGTGGGCTGGGCTGGCAAATTCTCTTGTTCCCAAGTGTACCAGACCAGGGAGATTCAACCTGTATCTTTACAACCGTGAACACCAAAGGCTTGACTTATCTTTTAAAAATCTAGGTTCTGCCACACAATTATGCAGCAGAGTCAAAAGGAATAACTGCATAAATGAATTGTTGACTGTAGGGATGTAAAATCCCATTTAATAGGTTAAACATGATGGTTAACTAGTTAACCAATTAAAGGTGGAGTGGGAGAAGGGACCGCTCCCTCGCCCCCACTGTAGACGGGGGCTGTGCTGGCTGGGCTGGAGTGCTTCCCACTCCTGCTGCGAGCAGGGAGCTTGATCAGTTCCCACTGGTTAAGCAGAACTGATAAGCTTCCCCCATTAAGGGTGAGATAAGCGATCGCATCCCTAGTTGACAAGACCATATGTGTTTCTGTTCAAACTGTAGGAGCTGTTGACTAAAATGTAGTGCCTTGTCTACATGTTTGCCATTTGGGGATTTTACAAAAGTATTGTCAACTTACGTTTGCTTTTCATTTTTTAGGAATATTTTAGTAGACAAGCCTAATGATCAGTCTTCAAGGTGGTCTTCAGAAAGCAACTACCCTCCCCAGGTAAGTATTTTAATTCTGCATTAGTACTCAGCTTTACTGGGGATTCCAAAGTCCCAAATTTTATACTCCTAGATTAGTAGTATTCCAGATGTAATATAAATTAAACAGCTGAGTTATTCATGCTGTTATTGACTGATAAATGTCTGAGCACTCCGCTCTAAGACATTATCTTTCTTGCAGTGTTTCAATTATATTTCCAGCTAAGGCATGTTTATCTCCTTGACTTCTAAAGCAGTCTCCTTTTTGGGGCATTCCGTATTCTTTATGGGAATATGACATAAGTGGGATATGCTTTATCTGAGATGATTGGAAAGGTTATAACCCACTGGGTATAATTATCCCATTTTTATGCTTGGATCATTCTTGTATGGGACGTTAAAAATATGAAATATAAACCTGTGGTAGTGTAGTTCTATTTATGCTAAGGACTATTAGTAACACTCGAGATCCAATATTCAGGACAGTGAGATGTGAATAGACGTGTTTTCCTTGCAAGTCTGGGAGGAGGGGCTATCGTGGGTATACTACCAAAACATGTGGCCATATCACCTGATCTTGGAATCCAGCTTAGATAATGTATTTTTCCAGAATAGCAGAGATGAAGTTTAGACTGACTGCAAAGGATTCCCTCCTTGTGCAAAACCTGTTTAAGGATCCGAAGTGAAGTAATCCAGGTGGTCAGTTCTCCTTGGCTACACAACCCAAGATGGCTGCTGGAAAGGATTAACACTGAACTGGGGGAAGGAACTGGGCCTAGGCTGGAAGAATGTCTAGTCTGAGAAGAGTATTAGGTGACTGTTAGAATGATATGATGTAACTAGTTTCTTTCAAATGTTAATTGCCTGTTCTATTTTAATTTGCTTAATCTACTTTGTTCTGTGTACTGTCTCTCTTATGACCACTTAAGTCCTACCTTTTATACTTAAATCGCTTTTACTTACACTGGGTTTATTAATAACCAGTTGTTACCTGGAGGCAGGGTCCAAGGAGTCTGTATCTCTTGAGAAGCAGGAAGCCTGCTAAGCAACCAGTGGGGCCCTTGGATGATAGAGATGCTAAAGGAGCACTCAGAGATGATAGTCATTGCAGAGAAGCTCAATGAATTATTTGCTTCAATCTTCACAGCTGAGGATATTGGGGGAGATTCCCAAACCTGAGCCATTCTTTTTAGGTGACAAATCTGACTAATTGTCCCAGATTGAGATGTCCTTAGAGGAGATTTTGAAACAAATTGATACCAGTAACAAGTCGCCGTGACCAGATGGCATTCACCCAAGAGTTCTGAAAGAACTCAAATGTGAAATTGTAGAACTGTTAACTGTGGCTTGTAACTTATCCTTTAAATCAGCTTCTGTACCTAATGACAGGAAGATAGCTAACGTGATGCCAATATTTAAAAAGGGCTCTTACTGGTATGTAATGGTCAGAATCACTGTTACACTAACGTCAGTACTAGACCAATTACTTGAAACTATAGTAAATAATAATAATTTTCAGACACAGATGAACATAATTTGGTGAGGGAAATCATGCTTTTCTAATCTTCTAGAGTTCTTTGAGGAGGTCAGCAAACATGTGGACAAGGGGGGACCCAGTGGAGATATTTTACTTAGATTTCCAGAAAACTTTTTTGACCAAGTCCCTCACCAAAGGCTTTTAAGTAAAGTAAGTGATGATGGGTTAAGAGGGAAGGTCCATTCGTGGACTAATAACTGGTTAAAAGACAGGAAACAAAGGGTAGGAATATATGGAAAGTTTTCCAAGTGGTAAGAGATAACTAGTGGGGTCCTGCCAGGGTCTGTCCTGGGACCAGTCCTATTCAACTCTTTTATAAATGATTTAGAGAGAGGGGTAAACAGTGAGGTGGCAAAATTTGCAGATGATACCAAACTGCTCAAGATAGCTAAGACCAAAGCAGACTGTGAAGAGCTTCAAAAAGATCTCACCAAACTAAGTGTTTGGGCAACAGAATGGCAAATGAAATTTAAAGTTGATAATAAATGAAAAGTAATGCATATTGGAAAAAATAATCCCAACTATTCATACAACATGATGGGGACTAATTTAGCTACAGCTACCCGAGAGAGATCTTGGCGTCATTGTGCATTGTTTTCTGAAAACATCCACTCTGTTTGCTTTTTTGACTTCCGCTACACAATGTGAGGAATCATTTTAAAAGGGATAAAGAATATCTTATTGCCTCTTTATAAAAACATGGTACACCCACATCTTGAATACTGGGTACAGATGTGGTCACGTCATCTCAAAAAAGATATACTGGCATTGGAAAAGGTTCAGAAAAGGGCAACAAAAATGATTAGGGGTTTGGAGTCGGTCCCATATGAAGAGAGATTAAAAAGATTTGGACTTTGCAGCTTAGAAAAGAGAAGACTAAAGCGGGGTATGATAGATGTCTATAAAATCATGACTGGTATAAAATCATGACTGGTAAAGAAAAAGTGAATAAGGCAAAGTTATTTACCTATTCCCACAATATAAAACTAGGGGTCACCAAATGAAATTAATAGGCATCCTTGCCAGAGGATGTGGTGAAGACTAGGACTTGAACAGGGTTCAAAAAATAGCTAGGTTTGTGGAGGCTAGGTCCATCAATGGTTATTAACCAGGATGGGTAGGAATAGTGTCCTTAGCCTCTGTTTGCCTGGAAATAGGTGACAAGAGAGGCATCATATGATTATTACCTGTTGTGTTCTCTCCCTCTGGGACATCTGGTATTGGCCACTGTTGGCAGACAGGATACTGGGCTAGATGGACCTTTGAGTCTGACTCAATATGGCCGTTCTTACGTTAATATTGAGGAAGAGGGTGAATTTCATGAGCTTATACTGTACAGATATATGCTACAGCATAATATGGATTTATTTTAGCGCTCTGCTCCCAGAAGGTCTATATACTTGAGTTCTGGGAAAAGATCTCAAGCTGTGCTGATGAGTGTGTGTCTTCAGCCATTGGATTGTGGCTGTGTCCCGATGTTGCAGCAGGCTAGCCTGTCAGGCTCAAGAAGAGAGGGTTACATGGTGACCAGGCTGCCAAGGTAAGCAGCCTCAGTGGGGTCTTGGTGCATTAGGTAATAATGCTGAGGGGGTCCTGACCCATCAGTCTTGTTGTCACAAGTGAATTTGGCAGGTACTTTTTTATTCATTTCGGACTTCAAGATCAAACTAAAAATGATTTAACTTGTGCTGTCAGTGAGCTAATGGTGGGAATCTGCCATGCATGGGGCCGTATCTCCTCAGCAATACAAGCAGCTATGGTAGATTTCTTATGCATATCAGTCTTGTTTTAGTGAGACTATTCTGTTCTTGGAACAGGGCACATCCTTTTTATGGTCATCATTCACTCTGCCAGAATTCTAAACATGGAAACTGTTAGAAACAGTACATTGTTTCCTCTGCTTTTGTCTCATTTGCTTTGTTAGAACATGGTTCTATTTGTTCACTTAATGTCACAACTCTGTGTCCTACTTTCTTTCCACCATGGTACATTGGTTTCTAGTGCTTCTCAGAGAAGTAAAATCTGTTCATTCTATTACTACTTTCTTTCAAAATGTTTATTTTGATTTCTCCAATAAATGTAAGTGCTTTTGTAAGGAAATAGATTTCTATATGTTTGTAAAATCTGCTATCCTGCTTGCCCTTTACATGATCTAATATCTAGAAGACGAAAGTGGCATTTCCTGGATTCTTCAGGGCAGGGGACTGGCAGTGTGAGGAGTGTAGGAGTCAAAGCAGGACCTTGGGGATATGGAGGGCTTAGGGCGGGAGGCTGGGGTATAGGGACTGCAGGAATCGGTGTGGGGAATTTAGGAGGGGCTCAGGGCAGGTAGCTGGGACTGTGGGAGCAGGGTGTGATTGGGTAGCAGGGTGTGACCAGAGGCTCAGGGTGGGCAGTGGGGATGGCTCCTGGCTTCTTCCTGGTGATGGCCCAGGTCAGCAGGGACCCCACACCCCACCTACTAGCTTGTCCACAGGAGTTGGCAGAGCGCTCTTCCTTATCCCTCCCGGGGCCTCGGGAGGGATGGCAGTTGGCAGGGGCTGATTCCCAGGCAAGGGGACCCCACTTACCTGGTCTGGTGGCTACTGGCGAGTATAGAGTCTCTCCAAACAATCCTTCCCCTTCCAAAAAGTCTCAACCTGGTGCTTCTGTTTTTCTTGGCACAACCAAACCCTGACCTGGCTTTGAGGAAAGAGAAAAGGAAACTGAATATTAAATTTGGTGCTCCTAGCTTGTTTTGGGGGAGCTCATGAACAGACTCATAGATTCACGTTTCTAAAAATATATAGATCTCGGTAGGGAGGTTTAAAAAAAACAAACTTTTAATATGATGATTGCTGTGTAGCTGCTAAAAATCTTAGTGGTTACACACGCTGTGGGCTCTGCAGCACAAAGCTTAACGTCGACTGTAGAGCCCACAGCCAAGCCTCCCTGGGAGAAGGGCCCCCAGCTATTTGCCGCTCGGCTCCCAAGGAGGAGGCTTTGCTGCAGCAGTGAAGCTACCTCCCTGGGGTGCGGAGCCAGCAGCCTGCTGAGCTCAACAGGTACCATTAACTGATAAGCATCAGTGTATCAGTTAAATTGATTAAACTCTAACATCCCTATTAGAGAGTGCTCCTTTTATCAGTCTTCAAGCTCAGTAATTTTGTCCTACTTGTATATAAGGGGAAGATTGCTTCGAAATTTGAGACATCCATGACATTTTTCTGCTTTGGCCCCAGTCGTGATCATGAGGGTTAGCCAGCATCCTGGAGACTATGGTTATGTCTAGACTGCAAGCCTCTTTCGAAAGATACTCTTTCAAAAGATACTGCTCTCTTTCGAAAACTCCCTGTTTGCAGTCAAGAACGTCTTTTTTTTGAAAGAGCACTTTCGAAAAAAGGCGTTCTTCCTTGTGCAGTGAGGTTTACCGCCGTCGAAAGAAAAGCCGTGTTCTTTTGATTTAATTTCGAAAGAACGCGGCTGCAGTCTAGACGCAGGTGAAG